AAAGCCTTCTGTGGCTGTACGTTGAGATGTCCCTTCAAATAATTTTATATATACCAATACGTCAAGTTTTGCCCATAATCAGAGCATATACAGGGTAGTAATAACAGCGTCAAAGTGAAGGGAAGCTCTTGAGATGGGTGCATAAGGTTTAACTTTCCAAGCAGATTCTGTGTTCCATCAGAGCAGCTGTGGCTTGATGAAGAAATGCAGAAAGAACAGGAATACAAATATGTCCACCTAAGGGATACAGAAATTAGTTTTACCAGAACACAGTGCTGTAAGAAACTTGTAAAAATGCAGATAAGGGCCGCTTGAGTGCCTGCTCTCATCTCCCTTGTATGCTGTGGCTGTCTATGGCAGGAGTTTTTTAAAAATGAGAAACAGTGATTATGAAGAGTTCAGCTTCTTTACTGCTAACTGGCCTTGCAATTCCTTTTGGGATAAATATAAAGTAAAAATGAATATTTGGTGGCAATAGAAAACTGACAGCTGCAAATAGGGTAAAGCCAGTGAAACAAATGCCTCCTACTACCCCTCGTGACAATACTTTTTGCAATTCCTGGGATACAGAATCAGAGTTTTCCAGACTCAGCTCAGCTCTAACAGCTTTTTCCTGTTCATGAATACTAGCTGCAGTGCTCAAATCTATTTTAGATTATAAGGGCATGTGCATCTTGCTTGGCTTTTCATTATTAGTAAATTTTAAGCCCTGGTATTGTATGTATGTTTTACTTGCTGCCAGGCAGTTTGTTGGGAAATATAAAATAACATTAAATTTGGATACGTCTGTTAGATTGCCACTAATCCTGATTTTTGCCAATATTCAGCAGGAAGTCCACCTGCATCCATGAGCTTTGCAAAATTTAAGAATGCATTGTAGTTTGCAGAACTAAGTTGCCTTCCTTTTATAGAAGTCCAAGCTCCTGCAAAGTCAGCATATAGGTGTTTCTGTCACTTCTCAGTAGATAAATTTGCCTTCCACAGCTAAATCCTTGAATTCCATGTCTTTCTTACCTGTTGAAGACACAAGATGTGCTTGATCTATGTTGGACTGTAGTTTTAATTTAGGCAGGCTTCTCTTTTAAAGGCAGTACTGGCATGGTTTTTTGTTTAAAATGTGCCGCTTAATGCTAATGATCTAGCCAGTCACAGAGCACTCTTACACTTGGGTTAAGTTGTGATGGGGAATCTAGAAGCTTCTGAGTATAGTATTCTGGTATTTTTTCATTATTGGGGGGCGGGGCAGTTTTTAGAAGAAGCAGCTGCTTGTTTCTGAGGGCTGTTTTACAGCGATGTTGGCATGTGAGTAATTAGCAGCCCCCCAACTGCCCTCAGCCCCCTGGATTAGGAGGCATTGTTGGCTCAACCTGGAGTTAGAGGCAGATGTGGACAGATTGTTTTTTTTCCCCAGCAGCATTTCCACTTCTTCGGTTTTAGCTAATCTCTTGAATAATCTGTACCCAAATGTGAAAAACCGAGCTTGTCTCTGTAGGGCGCAGTGCAGGGCGGGAGGCAGTGTGCTGTCTCCTCACTCAGGGTGCCCGCAGAGGCTGGGTGATTTTTGTTCCATACCCCAGGTGCCATCAGGGGATTGTTTGTAGTGGTTTTGCATATGCCCCAATGTGTAGTGCTAATCTTTCCTCTTTCTCGTTTAACAGTTACTATGTAGCCTAAGGAGCGTTAGAATTGCTATTTCTAAAGTATCAGTAAAGCAAACAGTAAAAACGTTTCCTTGTCTCATACAGCAAACTCTGTCTCCTTTCACATTGCTTCATTTTTGCATGACTGTTAGTGGCAACATTTGTGGAGGACAAGTTAGCAGCTTGTGTAAGTGCACACAGGCGGAAATTTTGATTTTTCCATCTGAAATTCCTGAAGAACGAAGCAAACTTAAACACTGAAGAAACAAGCTTTACAAAAATGGTTAACGTTTTCCGTTGGTGAAAAGCGATTTCCACCTGTCTCTTGAAAGGGTGTTTCCTGACTGACTGAGAGGGAAAACCTTGGCGTCCTAGATCCCTGATAGATCAGGGAGGAGGGGGGGGCTGCAGGGCAAGAAGCAACACGCATCACTGAAAATGAGTGAAGAAATAAACTATTTTAGGCTTTTTGAGCAAAAAAGAACTGTTATAACAGATGAGTTGCTTTTAGAACAGGAAAAGGCATCCTATCTAAATTAGCCAGCTAGGCAAATTGACATCGGAGAGGAAAGCTCGTGTTTATAAACATAGCTTGGTTGCAGAAAATAAAGTCCAAAGTTTTTTTACCTTGTTGAAGTACATCAGATTAATAATGCCCACACAACCACAAATCCACACTGCATCAGTGGTGTTGAAAAACTGACAGAGGCGTTTGCAAAACTTGTAGGTTGCTTAGTGAAATCTAGATTTTACTGATGGATGCTTTATACCTGTGTTTAGGATAAATCGGTGACAGAGCAGTCTTCCCCACCAACCGGTTTCATTGAATGTGTGCATGCATCTCTAGCTGCCCATGTTATTACAATGTGAGGTCTGTGCCTTGGCTCAGGAAACTCCTCTGAACATTTGAAGACCAGGAACATAGAATTAAATAAACAAAAGTTGAAGGAAAGTTGGAATGACTTCTTTCAGTGCATGCTTCCTACTTCTCCCACCTTCATTTATTCTTAAATTCAGGCAGGCACCTTGTTCTTCTAAGGCTGTTTATTTGCCAACAAAGGTTAAGGTTTTCACCTTAGGATGGAACAATTATTAAGGATTTGTGTGCTTTAAGATCTGTACTCTATACTTGGTATGTGTGTCTATTACTTAGTCTTCCCAGGTGCAGGTTGAGGTGGGTGTCTGACAGGATTCCTATCTTCAGTGGCCTGTATCTTTCTGTGGCTTGCAGAATGGTTATCTGAGAGTATCTTACCTGGGATTAAAACTCTGACCAAGAGGTCAGCTGCTTCATCTAATCATCAAAGCATCTGTGCTCCTGTTTAATATCAGTTGTTCTAAGCGGGTTCATAAAGCTTCGCATAATGCTACTGTAACCTGCCCCACAGCCATAAATCATTTTTCTCCCTCAGGAGTGTGAGACACTGCAAATGAATGCCACAAATTGAAACATAAACTTTTTCAGTCGTATTCCTGTCAGAGAATTTTTGCTTCTGCTGAGGCGATTTGGCACATTAATTAATCTAGGCTTGTTTACTGTGTCTTTATGATTCCAGGCATGTTTCTTTTCTGCACAAGTCCTTGTAGACCATATATTAGCTGCACAGGGCACCCATGCGCTGGGCATCATGAAAACTATTTTGATGCCATCCGTTCTGCACATACTTTTCTTTCTTTGCAGTACTGTGAACTAAAGACAAGTCTGGGGCAGGAAGGATATGGTGAGAAATAGGTTCTGGTCATAAAATCAGTGAAGAGCTTTGTACAAGTGTATGTTCTGAGTTCATCTCTTTTGTGTGGATGTAAGCAAGGGGAATTTTTTTTTTTTTTTTCTTCTGTCATCAGCCAAAATGGCACTAGTTATGCAGTGGCTGAAGCTTAGCTGTCCCTGAAGGTCCTGCTAGATGGAACTGCATTAAAGTGACCTGAGGGGCTTCATTGCTTGCAGTAATTGCTGCGACATCCTTCCCCTCCTGTTTCCTCCTTGCTTCCTGAATGTTGCTACTCTGAATTTTTATCCAGTGTTAACCTTTTAATCTGTAGCTGTATTTTACTGCTTGTTTTTTCTCTTGGTCCCCTTTTCACAAATGTTTCCATTCATCAGAGGGATATGTGGTTGTCTGAAGAGAGTCCCCTAATGTCGTATTTATTCTTAAAATTGAACTGAACATCCTGGAGCCTGTAGCAATAGCCTGGTTTGTCGTGCTCTTGGCCAAGCCTGGAGTTCTCTTAAAGAGGTGACCTGAAACACAGCGTCATTGCTGGGAGAAGAGGAAAATTGCTATCTTGGTTCTCTCCTTCTCAACTACATATGATCAGTGTGTTTGTGTCATGTATGTTTAGGAGCACTGCAGTGACTGCTAGTGGGACATCCCAGGCTCTGTGTGTGAGATCTTGACCTGGTCTCCCCTGCTTTAGGCAGGAACTCATCCAGCTGCAGTTTAGCTCCCTGTTTGGAATGCTAAAGATGGGCACAGATGTTGGTTTAGGTAGCTGCTGGTCCTTTGAAAAACCTGCCATGAGAGCCAATGTCAAGTAGCAGCTGTTCCAGACACATGATTACTAAATGTATTTTGTTGTTCCTAGACAGTTAAAGCCAATTCCTGCAAATTCTCATTAGGATATAGTAATGCCTGTTTGTGGCTCTAACAGGTCTCTTTGAAACCAACGGATGTGTTTACAGGAGCACTCCCAGCATTTACAAGCTTTTCCAAAACAGTTTCTTGAGCTGTAAGTGTGTTTGAGGCAGAGATTGTGTGTCGGCCTACCAGTATTGAGGATTGTGGAGAAAGCTGTCGACCTAGGGAACAGCAAAAATTCAAATTATTTGCTGCCTTAGGTAAGCAATCTACTCTTTGGGTTACATCTAACCTTACTGTTGCATAGTATTTCACACCATCATCCTGAATGTAATTGAAAGATTATTTAGACTGCTAGGGAGAATTGAGGGATTCACACAATGCCAAAAATATCTGTGGGAGAGTGTTGGGGGTGAGCGTTGTGCAAAATCTTTTTTGAGAGTTAATTTAAAATGGAGATTTCGGATGGAACACACATACAAACCTAAATGCAGAGTGCATGCACAGATGCACATAGACAAAGGAAATAAACATTTAGATTTAATTTTTTGTTTCTAGACATCACTATACTGTAATGGCTTGCTGCTTTGGAAACTGAAGATTTTTTTCATGTTTGCTTAACTGATTCCCTTTTTTCCCCCCTCTGCTGACTCTGAGGAAGGATGTTCCTGTGTTGGTCTTTGTGCCTGTTGAAGCAAAGCTTGTGTGGCATCTACTGAGTAAAATGTGCTGTTCTTTTACAAAAGAGATGTTGAATATCTGTTTTTTCTCTTCCAGATGAGCTGACTCAAATGGAAACATCATAATGGAACCTACAGACAATCAGAGCAGCAACAGCAGGTAGGAATTAATTTGATGTACTCCTCACTTCCCAGGTGCTGTGACAAATTTTGAGATGGTTTTAAAAAAAAAAATAATCCCTCCCTTCAATGCCAGAATCATAATGACTGAGAGGAAGAGCTTCAAATCTATCAGGCTAACCAAAGAATTGATGCCTTTTGTAACTTGAATCGGACTGGATGATCTTCAAGGTCTTTTCCAACCAAGATGATTCTGTGAATCTCTTGTGAAACGAACAGTGTTTCACACTGGGTCTCAATGCGACTCTCACATAGACATGGTGCTTAGGGACATGGTTTAGTGGTGGACTTGGTAGTTGTTAGGTTAATGGTTGGACTCGATGATCTTAAGGTTTTCTTCCAACCTAAGGGATCCTGTGATTCTCACTGGTGAGAGTGTTCCCTTGTCCCGAGGAAACTCTGCTCATCGCATGGAGTTGAGGCGTGTTTCCTTACAGCACATCATGCCTTGATCGCTGGTGCACCACCCCTGTTGCTTCCTGTCCTGTCCTGTTCGCACCCTCAGTGTAGCAGGGAACAATATTGCCACCCCAGTGATCTGTGTGAGGTGACCCAGCCCTTAGAACAACCATTTCTGCACTCCTAATGCCTTTGAATTGAGAAAGGCAATCCTGACCTGACTCAGGGCTCTGGAAGTTTGGGCAATGAGGGTTCTACACTTAGACACCTAACTTGCAAAACTGATTGCCCCCTCACCTCCTCATGTGCCCCAAGAGGGTCATTTTTTTGCATTTTCCCATTTCTTTCTCATTTAGTTCTTTACAACTGCCAGTATGCTTTATCCTCATACCACAGTTCAGTGGTTTTTTTTTTCCCCTGTTATATGCGCCATCCTGAGGCATTAAAGGACAGTGATCACTGCACAGTCCCATTAAGGGGAGAGGTGTGGGTGGACAGAGATATCGCAAAGACGTGCAAGCTCTCTACTGCGTCTCCTCTGCTATCACTCTCCAAAGTACATCTAACTTCATAATTATTTTTTTTTCAAGGAATGGACCTTAAAATAAATAAATAAATGTATAGATAGATATAGATATATATATATGTATGTATGTATGTATGTTTTCTGGATAGCTTCTGGTTGGAATACTGTGTATAGCAGGCTGATCAAAAACCAACCAAAATCATGGGTATTTATTTGTTCAGTGTCCTACATACCTCTCTGCCTCATCTAGGGATTGGATATCACCACAAAATGAATCAGACAGCTGTAGTGAATCTGAAGGGTACATTGTGTTCTGTACATAGACGTTATCTTGATTCAATTGGAATATAAATCAGGATATTTAACACTCTTCACTGTGTTGCTTCTGACAGCTCCAGTGCCAAAGCCAACAAGGTCTATAAACTTCTTTCTGTTGTTTTTAACTATTTGTGAAAGTTTATACTGGTTATGGAACATTTTAAGGCATTCAGGCTGATAAGTGAGTAATGCCAAGGAAGATGATGGAAATTGTTCCTGATGGCTGCCGAAAGCTAGTAGGGTGCAGCCTGTAGTGCAGTCTGGTTCCTGGGAGAAGGTGGTTTCTTTTTAAAATATGTTTCCTTTAATTTAAATATTGAAGGATGAAGGGTTGTTTTCCTCTCTTTTTTCAGAAATATTTGATTCTTAACATCTGTAGAGCAATTTCTTTCATAGCAGGCTGCATCCAACTTAGCCTCTGTTGTTAAAGTTGAAATATCCTTTTGGTTATATTCTTCACTGCCCTTTTTCTTTTTTTTCTTTTTTTTTTTTTACCCAACATAGTACTCGGCTCCGTTTGTTTCCTTCACCCTGCTGCTCCTATAGCCTCACCATAGCTGTGCAGTGTGGGTCAGACCTAGTGAAATCTAAGTGCTGTCATGATGTGCCCAGCAAGTGTGTGCTGCTGGCAGTCAGCTCTGGTTCTGGCAAGTGCTAAATTTAAGGTGCTATAAAGCAGGCCTGTGGAGCGTGCTTTGCTTAAGCAGGGTCAACAGAGAGTTTTGCTGCCTCAGCCTTCTTCAGACTTGCCATTGCTTACAACGCACAGCTTCATTTACCTCGTTAAACTGGTTTGTGTGGATGCTTGTGCATATGGGCTTCTGAATTTTTTTTGCTTTCCAGCAGTACTTTGGAAGCAGGAGTTTGGGGATAAAATTAATCTATCTCCTTCCCTCAAAATATGTGGAGCCCTTGAAATTCTATGTTTTATGGTTGTAGCCTGCACTTTACAGTAGCAGTGTATGTATTTATTACATGGCTACTTCCTTGATGACTGGTAGAGAAAGTGAAATGCTGGGGTTTCAACCCCAAGCCCCAAATTAAGGTTGACATGTGGGTGATTCCCACGGCCCTTCACAAAGGGGGGGGTGAGTTTGCCTTTAAGCTTCCCTCCAGGGTGGGGCTGGCCTGGCAGGGAGAGCCATTAGGTAAATGAGCCCCAGTGGTCCTGCTTTAAGTAAACAAAGCTCAGGTGTCCCACTGAGGGGATAAAAGCTGGGACCCCTTTTGCAGCAAGGGGCAGTGTCTGTCTGTGAGGTGGATGCACTGTGCAGAGTTCCCTGTTGGGGAAGGACCTCCTGCCTCCCTGGGACTGGGCTCCAGTCAGGTCTGGCCTTTGTAAATGTGGGCTGTGTAGCGATTCAGTATGTGGCTTCCATGCTCTTGTGTGTTTGGCTTGTTGATTCAGTTGTCTCCCATCCCTTCTATGAGAGACTGCATGTCACCATTTATTCTACCCATTGCTGGTTGTGTGGTGGTGGTGTTGGGGTCAGTGGGATTGATGTCGATTATGTATAATATGACTTGTTTATACCCCCAGCGCTCACCCATGCACTGACCCTTTTGTGTCAAATACAATTTGGTTATTGGTTCATCTTTATGCTGGCTGTGTCCTTTATGCTAGGCCTAATAATTGGCAAAACAAAATGACACAAGAGTATCAAGCTAGGGATAGGTTTGTGTAAGATTTGGGATTTCCAGAATATAAGCAACTCTTTAAGGATTATCCTCTCTGCAGGTACATGGCCTCTGGTTTTCTGTAGAGGTAGTGAGGAGGTGTAAAGCAGAAGGGTGCTGATGGCCAGGGTGGCTCATGGGGCTGAGAGGTTAGGAACTGTCCTGCTGGTCTGGGGCAGCAGAGCCTTTACAGAGCTCAGTCTTTGCCTTCTGACCTGGTGTGGAACTCCGTTTTGCAAATGAAAAGGCCACCCGTGTCTGCTTCAGGCCAGGAATCACAATATCCATTTGACCCTTTTCACCTCCAAATGCAGAGGACTCATCGGTGGCAATAAATGGCAGTGGTTCTATGGGTTTCTTGTCAACAGAGCTGGGAGAACACAACTTAATTAAAGGACAGCAGTGACTCTTGAAGACTGAAAGTAAGGGCGTGTGTCTGTTTTAAAAACCTGATGTGGTACAGCACAATGAGATGTTTTGAAAAGCTTGGTAAGAGCATGAATTTGACCTGTTTCTGGGTATAAACAAATACATGTTTTCATTTACAGCAAATACATTTCAGGAAAGGCTACTGGCCATGTATTTAATCTCATGATTTTACTATAGCTTGGTGTCTATTCCTTCTTCACTGGTATTCTATGCCTGATTGTTTCACAATACTGTAAGCTTCTGGGATTCGTCCAGAATGATGATTTAATGGATTATCATACGTTTATTAGTATAATCTCATATTGCATTTTTTTCCTGAGTTAAGGGATGCTGTGTTCCCCTTTGAACAGTTACTGATTCAGATTTGTTGGAATCTTGCAACAAAAGCCAGGCACTGAATGCTGTTGTTAACTGGGTTTTAATTATTTGTTTTATTTATCACTCCTTGAAAACCAAGTTGTGCAAAGATTTTTTTAATAATACTACCCCCATGCGTGGCCACCCAACCCCCTAAATAACATTATAACAGAAAAGGCCCAGGAGCGACTAAATTTCATAGCAGGTGGCAGATGACTAACTTAAAGAATGGCTTTCTCAAGCTCTGTGGAGATGTGGAAAACTTTGAGATGCTTCAGGAATATTAAGTCAAATAGATGAGCAAGGCTGGAGATAAAATACCATGTGATTATTTTGAAAATTCATGGGTGTGTGAACTCAGTAGCACTCAACCAACACTCCTGTATGTGTATGGCAGGCATTGTTGGTGGTGAGCAAAGAGGTGCTGATCTTGCTTCTGTAGGACTGCAAGGCCCTGTTGTAGATGCTGTAGGTACTGGTTTTGGCAGTGTATCAGCACCTGCACCTTTTCTGAAAATGTTGTTGCTTTATGCTTGAAACTTCCAAGTCTTTTTTCTTCCCTTTTATATCTCAGCTTCCTTTCAGTCCACATGTCCAGGCATGGGCAGATATAGGGCCAAGTGAGATGGCACTGTGTATGTAAAATGCACATAATGTACCCACATCCTCTGCTTTAACATTGGTGCCTGGGATCAGTAGTCTGATTCTGAAAAATTCCTTTTCAGGAATTCAAAATTAAGAAACAGCAGCATCCAGGTTGCCTGCATGCCTTCATTTGTTTGTTTTTTTTAAATTGGATTTGCATGTCTATGCAGTGTTTAAATCACAAGCTTCATCTCTGGACAACTCCATTCTCATTCAGTGCATAGGTAGATAAGAATGGATTTTCTAAAATTAAAATGCCTAAAAATAGTTTAAATGTGTATGAAATTATGATCACCTGTAGGAAGATTTTCCTGTTAGGTTTTTATGGAGTATTTATTTGGTAATCCTTTTCACCTCAGAAGTGTGTTTCTGAGTTTATAAAGAGCTAAAGAGTACAAAAAGTTTATTTTACTGATGTATTTTGTTTGTGTTTTACTTAATGGAGTTTCCTTCATTTGCAATACAACCTTCAGAGACAAGGACCTGAAAAGGGGGAAATTTGTATTCCTGATTGGTGAATAAAATTACGCAAACCAACAGGTGGGAAAAGCTGCTGTCTGCTAATCTTGAAAACAGATGTAAGGGAGAGGTCTAGAGCTGACAGGATATATTCTGACAGAAAGTTTTCT